GTTATTTATTCATTTTTATTTCATCGGGAAGTGCTCATGGTGTGTACGATATTAATTTGGGCAACGTGGAATGCCTTTTCTCATTACATTAAGCATCCTAGTGAGGAAACTTATTGTTGTTACAAAGAACTCAAATTTTCTTTGGACAGATTTTGTTGCTAATTTAAAAGATTGTACCTCCAAATTGGAAAAAGTGCTTAATAACCAAAAGTGGGTAAATTGTCCGATAGCATTCATTCAGTTCAACAAATTATATATGTATGTATGTGTGTGTGTGTGTGTGTATATATATATACATATCTTGTAAATGGAACCACGTAGGGCAAGGTAATATGTCAGGCTTTTATTTAAGAAATTTGGTTTTTATTATATTTATTTCACAACTGATTTTTACAACATGTTTACCTTTAAAATAAATGCTATGTCATTGCTAACATCAGAAGATTAAACTATTGTTAATTTTAAATTTTGTCTTCAAGTTTCTTTAAACCAAAGAAAAATGCAGTGGGACACCATGGAACGGGATCTTCTGGAGAGAGTGAGAAACCTTCGCCAGAGACTCACCGCGCAGGCTCGTAGCAGATGTCAAACACCTCATCTTTTGGCCACATAGGAGGCTGGTCACCTTGAAAGAGTCAAAGAAATACCTATTTTGCAATTAGTGATACTGATTTTTAGATTATTTAAATTCCTGTAAAGATCAACCTTTTGTATAGAAAACTGTGTAGAAAAATTATGTATTCTATTTAATTCTTATGCTTTTTGGCTTGTAAATGGCTTCTGGTACTTTGCACAATAAAAATTTTTTAAGGTATTTGTGTCGCACCAGCACAACCAGGTTTGGTGAGCCTGAGAGGGGACAGTGAAGGATTGAGAAAAGACAGAAAAGAGAAGAAAGCTGGGCGCTGGGTGGGACGCTGCCCTCTCTGATGGAGAGCTAGCGACAGCACCACAGCCTGTAAGCCGAGTCTTTATTTTATAGCCAGATTCCACGAGGCAAAGTAGGGACATGGTTCCAACCTTCTCGCATGTTTCGAATCTACTCAATTACATGCACCTGATCAAGCTTTGTTTACTTGCTGCACCTCCCGCAGCCACGTGGGACCACAGGTTGGGACCATAAGGTCAAGCTTACGACTGCAGCTTTTGGCTATAATTGTGCTGGGACTTGCACGTGGCTTTGCCACGAGAGGATCATGCCCTTGCATTAGTCCCAGGCTTGAACTATTGAAAACCTGTCTCTCTTTAAGGCCTGTTCTCTGGAGCAATGCAGATTGAACCTGTCCCAACGCTGTAGCCGCTCTCCACAGATACTAAAACTTGTGTTAGGCTCTTTCAGGTTGTGAGAACCAGCATAAACCTCCCTGACTTTAGTTGATGAGGGTTGATTTTAAAGCTAAACTGAGATAAAGAGCGGGAACCATCTCTACATCCGTACAGCCAGAACTGAGAGAGACTAGAGCCGTGGTCGGAAAACTGCGGCTCGTGAGCCACATTCGGCTCTTTGGCCCTTGAGTGTGGCTCTTCCTAAGCCTTAGGAGTACCCTAATTAAGTTAATAACAATGTACCTACCTATATAGTTTAAGTTTAAAAAATGTGGCTCTCAAAAGACATTTCAGTCGTTGTACTGTTGATATTTGGCTCTGTTGACTAAGGAGTTTGCCAACCACTGGACTAGAGCATCGACTGTGTGGTGTGGCTGAAATTGTCGCCCTCTGACCCCCCAGCAGCAGGACCTCCTCTCTGCAGTGATCCTGCTGTGCTAACACCGCAGTCATAACATTAGCGTCTCTGCTTCTGGCTGCAGAAATCCTCTCCCGCTCTCCCTGCTCAGCTCCACACAAGGCTGCTTCATCCTCTTGGGCCAATTACTTCTGTCCACCCATTTCCAAAAGGAGGGGGAAGTCGCTCATGGACTTGATGGGAGCATTAGATAAGATAACGGACATAAGGTTCTTGGGCAGTGCTTGACATATAGTGATGTGCAATATGTAGTAGGAATTCTTTTTTCTGGTGGTCACACAATATAATCTTAATGGTAAAATATTTTCAGTAAGCAGAGAGCTCTCTTTTTGTCCAATAGTCAAAGTTCTGAACTATTGCCATTGGTTTCCTAAGAGCACTTTCCTTGGCCTAATTTTTTGTTTATGTTCAGGTAGTTCCAAACGTGCCTTAATGGCTCATGCTGGTATGATGGGCACCAGGAAGTCACAGGATATAAAATAAACAGGGTTTGATGGGAACTTGGGTGAACTAGAATTTGTTTGCTCACATAAAAGCATTCAAATTCTAAATACTGTGATTCTCATGGACATAAAGTACAGCATAGGGAACATAGTCAATGATCTATAATAATAAAAGTGTAATATGCCAATATGACCAGACAGCTGAATGACCTTCCGGATGAAGCTGGGGCAGCAAGGGCTGAGGCAAGCCACCACATCTGCGAGGGCCGAGCCCCTTGCACGAATTTCGTGCATCGGGCCTCTAGTATTGTAATATGGTGCCAGATGGGTACTAGACTTATTGGGGGGATCACTTTGTAAGGTATATAAATGTCTATATACCTAAACTACTATAGTATGGAATGTCAACTGTAATTGAAGAATGAAATATTGTGATTATGCCAGCCAGAATCAGCTGTATATTGCCAGTTTCTGACCTCTACTTCAAGTCCTCTTTTACTAGAATTTATACCTTAATTGGTTTTGCAACTGCACACATACTTCTTTTTTTTTTAATATATATTTTATTGATTTTTTACAGAGAGGAAGGGAGAGGGACAGAGAGTTAGAAACATCGATGAGAGAGAAACATCGATCAGCTGCCTCCTGCACAACCCCCACTGGGGATTTGCCCGCATCCAAGGCACATGCCCTTGACCGGAATCTAACCAGGGACCCTTGAGTCTGCAGGCTGAAGCTCTATCCACTGAACCAAACCGGTTAGGGCACATACTTCTTTTTATATCATTATAATACTTCATTTTATTTATATATATATAATTTCAGAGTGGAAGGAAGAGGGAGAGAGAGATTTCAGAGAGGAAGAGAGAGAAATATGAATGAAGAGATAGAATCATCACGCCCTCTACTGGGTATCAAGCCAGCAACCCAGGCATGTGCCCTGACCTGGAATCAAACCTTAACCTCCAAGTTCATAGGTTCATGCTCAACCACGCTGGCTGGGCAATATTTCATATTTTTAACGTTTCTGTTCATCCAGTTAAAGTGAGTTATGCATAGTCTCAACCGAATGAAGAAATTCCTTTGATCTCCATTTTCTCGGAGCCTACAGTTCTCCCAGGAATATTCTTGATAAAGTCCCTGCCCTAGCAGGTACTTGACTGGCTCCCTTTGGTCCTATGTGATTGGTTGGCATTTCAAAGGTTATCACATTTCATGAAATACATTTCTGATGATCTCTCCCTGCTTCTTGACATTATATCCTCAACCTTACCCCAACTTCTTTACAATGTAAATTTCTGGATGCTGAATACTAAAGGCTGAGCTTGGCAAAAATTCCCATGCTGGCTACATTCTAAAAGCTTCTCTCAAGTACTCCTTCGAGTTTGTTAAAGCAGAGAGGTTCGTAAAGGCCTTTTCATATTTATTACATTCATAAGGTTTCTCTCTGGGATGAGTTGTACAGTGTTGGATAAATTTGGGGCTTGAGCTAAATCCCTATCCACACTGACTACATTTAAAAGAGTTTCTCTCCTGTATGAAGTCAATGGTGTTGAGTAAGTTATTAAATTGATAAAAGGCCTTTTCACATTACATTCATGCATGGTTTTTCCCCGGTATGAATTCTCTGGTGTTGAGCAAGATTTGAGCATTTGCCCCAGGCTTTTTCACAATGATTCCATCCATGTTAACTGTTGCAGTGGGAATGATGACTTATAAGGATTGCTGAAGGCTTAATTTATTGGGATGGGTGCACTTATCCCAGATTCTGGACGTAGTGTTTAATCTTGTATCAGTCCGGATCCGATCAGGAGACAAACCACATGATAATTTGAGCAGGGAAAGCTTAATATCAAGAGTTACTGAACTATGATAGGGGAATAACTAAAGATGTAATGAGGATTCTAAAGGGTGTGCAGGACTGAGGGAGAGTCCAGAAAAGACAAACTTGGAAGGGAGGTCCCCGCCTTCCCCAGC